CACCTTAGCATGTTAGCAATGGACACAAGGCTAACGTTATCGGTAGGCCATGCACAAAAAAATAGTTAGCATCTTTTATTGGATATGTTTCATGTTGTACTATTCTTCCGAACACAATTCCTAGTTTATGAAACTGTTCACTAACAATGGTAGTAAAATCAATTCTGATTGTACATGTATCTAGCTTACGCTAAAGCATTACACATTTTAGGCATCGTCATTTGTTGTCATACATAGATTGGCCGTATCAAACATTAGAGACTGGGCTATATCTTACCGTTTTATCAAGAAAAAAGCCAACTGAGGATCCCGTTTGAGACCAAGAGCAGACCGGAGATCTCTCCATTTGTTAAATGCCTTCCCGAGGTTGACTCTCGTCAAACTCCGACGCTTGTCTGACTCCAATTTGGCCCTTTTGGTGGCACTAGACAAAATTTTTCTCTTTTTTACTTTACGTGGAGTTTGCGTTGGGGTTTGGAATGGACTACAAGCCGGTCTCTTTGAATCCATCTTCTACTTTTGACGCACGAGTTGTCCGCTGATGCGGAGAATGGCGGCGCCGGCGAATACACAAACTTGCGAGACAGCCTGGTGAGCGTGAACGCGCATGACGTCACGCCCAGTCTCAAATTCGAGCCCGAATCCCTCTTATATATTTTACTGTACAGGATTATAGAGGCAATCTCAGTAAGCAGAGAAGGGCTCATTCAGCCCATCAGGCCGTTCTTTAAGCATGTATAGGAAGAAAAACAGGTATTTTTAACATGAAAAGTTGCGCAATGCACCTTTAAAGGAGAAACTTTTTTGGTATAAAATAAAGAAATTAACAACATATTCAAGAGATGACGATTTTGGGGATTCTTAAAAAAAATATATCGTTATAAGGAAAAAACTGTGGGTCACATTAGTAGGGTTTAAAATATAACAACTTAAATCAACCCTAAATGTATTCACAAAATAAATTGGCAGCTGTTTCTTCAACAATACCACAAAATGAGCAAGTTTCATCAATATCAAGATATTTATAGATAGATTAATTAAACGTGTCGTTCATCTTTTAAGTTGTTGCGCTTGTGATAACGCGTCGTAGGTCACATGATAACGTCAACATGGCGGATGATGTCCGGATCACATTCATACTCAATGAGATTTGGCTATAAATACCTACTCTTTTAGCGCTCGTTAAGTAAGTACTCATTGAAATTAAGTACCTACTCATTGAGTATGCGGTTTGGAACGCAGCCTGAGTCTGTTTTTGCTGTGCTGCACGCGCTGAATTAAAGTGACAGCGCATAGTTCGTGGTCAAAAGGAGCACAAATTGACATGACAATGAATTTCATCATAAATGCATTTAATTAAATAAAATGTAGTAATCTCACCATAAATGCATTTAATTAAATACTACTATTTTTCACAGTCATCTTTTTACTTTTAACTTTTTAATATATTTTTTGAGAATATTTTGATTTGATAGTTAAAAGATTAAAACATTTTGCTAACATGAGGTCTTGTCACTGTCAGTCTTTTTACATCAGTGCAAAACTATGGTATGTGCATATGCTGGTGCAACCAACTGAGAAATTTAGTAGCACCAGTGCAACCAGTGGAAAAGTTAGTCTGGAGCCCTGTCAGATGTTTTAATATGAAGATCCGTATATCAAGCGCACTGATGCAAATGACAGTTGTCTATATGTTGCCTTGATGATAAACCAGGTGACGGCTCGCCACTGTGGACCCAAGACAAGAGATGATTTATTGGGGAGGATGGGTGAATAATAATAAAAAAAAGACCTAATGAATGCTCATTGGCTGAGCAAAGTTGGGGGGTGAGGTGTAAGAAACTGTATAAAAGTGAGGGTCTTGACTGAGGTTGTTAGATGTTCTGGAGGCATCTCAGCTTTATTGTCTCCACCAATAAAGACTACATTTTTGGCATCTGGAACTCTGTGACTCGAGTGATTTCTTACAAAAATGAGAAGACTTTTTCCCAGAACTCAGAGTGGTGAGCAGCGATAAGCAACAAGTATGTGATCTAAATAATGTCTGTTTTTCATAGAAGTCAAAGGTAACCAAAATGTTTTGGAACCAGATCCCAAAAATGTTTTGGTTACCAAAATGCTTGAAAAAAGTCTTCTTTTGTGTTTCACAGAAAACTTGGTAACACTTTACTTGAAGGGGTGTGCTGTGCATAAGATTAAGAATGACATGACACTTTCATAATCATGACATGGCACGTCATGAATATGAATGAGTGTTTATGCATGTTTATGACAACTGTCATTAAGTGACATTCGCTCAATTATGACATTTTTAATGCAAATATGACATTGTTTGAGATGTCTTTGTTATGACACCTTGACATAAACCAAAACATCATAACCTGTCAGTGTCTTTGTCATGACAACTTGACATTACTAAGACAACACAACCTGTCATACACTGTAAAAAAAAATCCTAATTTTACAGAAACTAACTGTGATTTTTTGACGATCATTTTCTTTCATTTTAAATTGTACTCAAAACACTGTAAAATTACAAATAATATCTGTAAAATAAAAATTCAGCTGTTATTTTAGGTATTGTGACATTAATGACAAATTGCAGTGATTCACATTTTTTATACAGGAAATTGATTGTATTTTTCATACAGTATTTTTTCTGTTTTCTTAAATTACATAAAAATGTATGTAAAATTACAAATATAATCTGTAATTAAACAGTAACAAAACAGTTAAATGATAAAACGGTCAAATGACTGGCAGCCCCCAAAAAACTGTAACATTAAAGTAAAAAATCCTAAATTAAATAAACTGAAAAACACTGTGATAATTCAGGATATACCTGTAAAATAACAATCATATACCTTCAGTGAAAAAAATATCGTAAAAAAAGGGTCAAATGACTGGCAGCTACGGCTGCCAAACAAAAACCATAAAATTAAAGTAAAATCTTCTAATTCAAATAAAACAAAAAATACTGTTATTTCACAGGTATTTCCTGCATTATTATGATCATATACCTTCATTGTAAAAAAATCGTAAAAAAAGGGTCAAATGACTGGCAGCTACGGCTGCCAAACAAAAACCATATAATTAAAGTAAAATATCCTAATTTAAATAAAGTGTAAAAAACTTTAATAGAAATGTGATGTCACCATGATTGAGATCAGTGTTTGCTTTAGTTGGGCTCATGACTCTTGAGTTTCAACATTACTTTTTCTCTGGCTGCTTTAACTGTGTTTTGATGCACATTTATTATGGCAATAATTGCAAGAGAAAATATAAAATGATCTTGGTCATTTATTGATCATTTTATAGTGATCATATGATGATCTGATTCACTGATATGACAGTCAAATCTCTATTAGCTGTGAATACATTATATATAGATGGACTTTAGTGTTATACAAAGGCAATTATTATCATACTTTTTTCACATGATTTGTTGAAATATTGTGGGATCAGTATTATTGCAATCTCAAATTTAAAAAAATATATATATTCTACATAATTTTTTTTTAGTTGGTTTATTTTGTTAGGAGTATAGAGACATCAAGAATCAACATATGAATCTCAACAATGGTGACAATCAACAAAGCCTTTTTGTGACTTTATAATAGGTCAGTTTTTTTTTCATTGTCACCATTGTTGAGATTCACACGCTAATTCTTGATGTCTGAGTGAGTCTGTATGATCCTGTCAAAACATTTTTTGCATAATGACTTCATAAAATCTTATATCACAGCATTGTAGGATCTCCTATAGTAATACTGGCATTCTAAATTAACAATTAACATTTTTCAACTTAATCAGCCATTAAAAAGTCATACCAATCAGGTGGTATCAATACAGCAGACAACTGCTTGATGAATATTATCACTATTAAGTGACCAACATCATTTGATCTGAGTTTTTCTCAATATCCTACAATAACAAATATGCATCAAAGACATGCACAGTTAAGAGAAAAACTAATGTTAATATATGAAGGGTCAAGAGCCCAACTAAAGCCAACACTGACCTCTATCATGGTGACATCAAACTTTATTATTTTCAATAAAATATCAACTTCTAAACCTCTGTTATTTCTCAATAAGAATGTTAGTGTGAAAGAAGGATTGTAATAAGTGAAGATGCTGAGATCTTGAGAGATCTGTTGGTGTTTAATGTTCTGTTGGGATGTAAAGTGTTTCTGTATGGTGTGTTTTGTGTGTGTCACCATTGTGTTGAAGAGTAGAGCCTGAGCTTCAGTCCAGGATGAGCAGAGTAACACTGATGAAATGCTGTGTGTTGCTTTATTTAACAGACAGTAACTGTGTAGTTGTTGATGACGTATAATCACAGTAAATCATGCATGTAGTTTATAGCAAGATATTTACTTTTTACAGTGAATGTTTTTTAGTAAAAATTCAGTATATATATATATATATATATATATATATATATATATATATATATATATATGTGTGTGAAACAACTGTGTTTCTGTTAAAAAGCTTAATGAAGATTTCTGAAATAGTATTTATTATTTAAATTAGGATATTTTACATTCATTTTATGTTTTTTGTATGGCAGCCATTGCTGACAGTCATTTGACCTTTTTTTTCACAGTGAAGGTGTTTGATCATAATAATTCAGGAAATAACTGTAAAATAACAGTGTTTTTCTGTAAAACATTTAAGGACAAAGTTTGGAAAAGTTTTTTGCACTCAATTTAAATTAGGATATATTACTTTATTTTTACGGTTTTTGTTTGGCAGCCGTAGCTGCCAGTCATTGCCGGTTTTTTTTACGATTTTATTTTTTACAGTGTAAATATGTCAAAAACATGACATAGCAGATTAATTATCAAACTTAAGAAACCACTTAGTTTTATAGGTTAACATTACATTAAACTGTCAGGTTGGTTTTGACAATGCAATCTACAATTATGGTTACACTTGTGTGATAAAAGAGTGTTTGGGATATAAATGATTCAATTCGAAGAATTACACAACACTGTTTTGTACAAGATAAGTTTATTCATTGTTGTTTTTCCACAGATCAACGTCACAGGGAAGGTGCACATTCCAGTGTGACTAATGTTTGTCATTCTCTGTATCTGTGGTTCTGTAAACAATAAATCATCAATTGCAAGTAGACAAACAGTGCTTTGTTTAATAATAATAATGGTTTTCTTTTGTCTTACCTTCTCCTCTGAGCTTTCTAATAGGAGAAGCCCGCAAACAGGAAGCCACATATATAGGCTACCGTCCTGAGGGGGAAGAGTTGAAATGAGAAAGTTTTTGCATTGAATGCATGTGTTTTTAAATGCTTATGGGGTTTTTGTAGTTGAAATAGAGCATGATGAAGATGCTTGTATAGATGATTATAGAAAAAAGTGGAAATGTTCCTAATATTAATGTTAAACTTAGAATATCCAGTTTGTGATTGACTGAGAGTTGTCATTAGACTGTTTGAATGTAGGGTGAGGAGCCTGATGTCAGGGTTCTGTCACTTCTGTCTGGTTTTATCTTAGTGGGTGACAGAGCTCTGACATTCCCGGTTTGTCATGTGCTTGTGTTCTAGTTCTGTTTATTGTGTGTTTCCTTTGTGCCATGTGCTCTCCTGTCTATTGTCTGGCCCCTCCCATCTTGTTATCTGATTATTGGTTAATTTGTCCCACCTGTCTTTCTCGTTACCCTCCTTTGTTTGTTCCCCTATTTAGTCTCCCTGTGTTTGCTGTCCTGTGCTGGTTCGTTGTCAATGTTTCCTTGTGTTACCTGTTTTTTCCTGAAACCTCTCTTGTTTTCCCCCTCTGGGTTTTTTTTGTTTATAGCCTGTTTGATTTCGTATTATTTAATAAAAATCATCTTATCCTGCTCTTGTATCCTCGACTCAGCTCTGACCATTCCGTGACACCTGATCTATAAAAGAGAGTCCAAATCTTTGATGAAGAGAACAAAGCCAAGTTTGTTGCCAACTTTTGATTTTCATTGTTATGTATTAAGTGTTATCTTTATTGGTCCCTTTTTTTCTGTTGTAAATGTTTTTATTTTATTTTTGATCCTATGTTGGGTGACCATGTTCCATGTTATCTATTTTTTTTATTTTTTTTTGGAGCATGCCTTACCAGAAATGAAAGCCAATTCAAGATACTTCAGAGTTTTTGCTTTTCTTGCCACTGTCAAAACCTCCTTACAACAACTTGATTGCTCATCCTCATATTATATTGTTAGAGCCTTTATGTAAACATATTGTGTGTGGCGTCCATCCAATCAATGACACTGACACAAATTTGTAAATAATGACATTAACAGGGTTTACAGTGTGAAACGTCATTTTATGAATGCTCGGGATTAATTGTTAACCCCAGGTAAATTATGAGCAATGTGAAAAATCTAGAATTACAAGAGTGAACATTCCTTTACCCAAGGTTAGAGTTATGCTCTGTGTGAAAAGTCCTATTTAGAATGAAAAGCCCCATTTAGTACATTTGTTTTTTACTCACATGGCCAAGGAAGGGATAAAAGAAGAGTAGAGCTTTATTGCCATTTATTTTTTCTGCCTCTTTTCTTGTGGCTTTGTTCCTCTCTACCTGAGCTTTGCATTCCTGTACAACTAGATTAAACGCCATAGGCCAGACCAATTCAGTTCTCTCTTTCTCTTTCTCAGGTAACATTCTAAATACATGCTGGATACAATTACCTGTATGTTTTATCATCATAAACATCTCTTTTGTAACCAATTCAAATATAACCATAACCAAATACTGTTGTTAAACCCTTTGAAAAATAAATAGTTTGACCTACTATTGACTCTGTATTAATATTAAAGTGCTACCAGTAGCAATGGAATATAGCACCCTCAATGCTCCCCCACATATTTTGCTGTTCTAACTGCTCTTATTTCTATCATGGTTTAAAGGAGAACTCCGGCGCAAAATGAACCTTTGGTCTAATTACACATTGTTCTAGTCAACCGTTATCTGAGATTTGTTTTCATGATTATCGAATGTTAATAGTTTTATCTCTAAAAACAGTTTAGCCTGTAAAGCTAGTATAACGCTAGTATATTGGGCATGGAGTAATGACAAATAAAAATCGCTTGTTAATACCACTAACAAGGCTCAAAATAGCCCCACACTAACACGGTAGCATAATGAGGGTCCCACCTTCAAACCGAAGCATTGAGAACTTTGTCAGTGTCCAGACAGTTTAAAAAGGCGTTCGTAGATCGACTGGTAGAGACTCTTTTTCAAAGATGGCTTCTGCCTGTATACGCGAAGTTGACTGTATGTATAAAATATCTTCTTATTAAACTGTCTGGACACTGACAAAGTTCTCAATGCTTCGGTTTGAAGGTAGGGACCCTCATTATGCTATCGTGTTAGTGTGGGGCTATTTTGACGGAGTTCTCCTTTAAGCAGCAGTGTATGGTAATAGAGAAGAAATGTACAGTTTTATACCATCATGCTTATAACGATTTATCTTTAGTCATTCATCAATCCTGCAGCCTGAACCACTGTAGTGAAACCACTCTTATATTATGACCCTTATAATTATAAAGTGCCCCTATTTTCCTAATTTTTTGAAGGTCTCCTACAACAGGATTACATGCATCATAGGTCAAACAACACTTTCATTTTCTCATAATATACATTGCACATCACCACATTTTTCAATGATTTTCAAACGACTTAAGATTAAGTCTCTCTAAATCCCTCTGCATGCCTACTCGACTGATTGACCAGGTGGCCCAGTATGTTGTGATTGGTTTACCACTTACAGCCCCCCCCCCCCATTACCATAACTAAATTTCAGCTCCAGAGACTTCTCAAAGCTCAGCAATTGTACACACTGTAAAGACAGTATCGATCGAGCAGATTTTACCATATCAATTTGAGCGCTAGTCCGATGAAACATTGGAAGAAATAGTTATTCAACCCGAACCTCGACTTGATCAGGGCCCGGTTCCCTGATAACGCTCACTCTTAGCGCGCTAAGAAGACTCGAAAGATATATCTTACCAAAATTGTTTATGTTCCTAAGTGTGTTCCCCGAAGTGTCCCTTAGGAAGCTTCTTAACACGCTGCCTCTTACGTTCGTAGTTACAAAGGCGCTGTCCCAAGTGAAGGTGCTGAATTAGTTGGCATCGATTGCTCAGGAATCGATTTTCCACTTCACGCGAAGGTGCATTGCGGCGTTAAGAAAGACAACATGTTCTATGCAAATGAAACATTCCTCAAATTATTCCAGTAGCATTTATTTTAACATAGTTATCAGTAAAATATAGACTATTAATTAAATTATCAAATTGTCAAAATGTTCACACGATATGTTGTGACGGGTATCCCTCGCTAATCATCCACCCTCCTTATCCCGTTGTGCCACTTGTGCTGCTTCTTGACATGGGTTTAACGACTTGTGTGTGTGGAGGGGCGGGATGCGTTTTTTAAAAATTCAGGCTTTCTCGACCAATTTTAAAAATCGTATATCATAGCTTTAATTCAGTTATAAATTCAACCTGCACGTTGCTCTTAAAGGGCTTAAAGCTAAATTCTGCCACGTTCGCCTGGCAAGCGCAGGTCTGAGAAGGTCCAGAAGCTCCATAATGAGTTGTCTTAAGAGGCGAATTTTTTTTTAATATAGCCACGTCAGGCAACATGTCAAAAGGGCTTAAGTTTTGCCGAATAAAAAAATTGACATGGACTAAACGGCCGCCGCCATCTTTGATTCAATACAAGGACACGTTGGATCGCTGCCATAGTTGGTCGCTTACTGGACACCACCATGCTTACCCATTTATAGATCTTAGCCATTTAGAGCCAAATTGTTTGCCAGATTTTAAATATCAAAAGTGATTGCCAATTTAAACGCTTTAATGACATTACGAAATAGCCTAGGCTAATTACCACCATATTAGTTCTGATACCAAATAAAGTCAACTTCATAAATAGGCCTGTATCCATTGCGAACATATTTTATTATTAGTCTTAAAATGTCCATAACATAAAATCATTGTTGAGCCACAACATTGTCAACATACCATAGTTTGACTTGTACTGCGCTGCGCTGATTTCTAAAGACTGCTGCACAGTGACGGCGACTAGCGTCTTGAGCTCAAACAACGCTAAGAGAGAGCTTACGAATGGTCCAGACCAACCTTACGAAAGTGTGACTTACAGAAGATATACTTAGCGTACGAACGTGTCGGGAATCGTGCCATAAAGTTAAGGAATAGGTTAAGAACTACTTAGCGATAAGAACGTTTTGGGGAACCGGGCCCAGGACGTTTCTCGGTGATACGCCACTTAGTATGACGTACGCTATGAGATTTTGCAAATGTAATTCCTCACCATCAGCATTAACAAGTGGATGTCCATCAACAATGTGTATATTTCTAATTTATTACACGGCTCTGTGGAATACTTGATTCTGATTGGTCAATTGCGTCATCCAGCGGTATATTATTCCCAGATAACAACCTCTAAAAGCAGATAACGCAGGCTCATGGGTTACTTAAGTCAGCAGTGCTGTCCATTGCTAGAAACGTTTTTTTTTCTTCGTGTAGTTATTTAATTATGCCATCCAGTATCGTGGACTCGCTCTCTCTTGTTTTATACAAACACAGCTTCCATTTTGTGACTATTGAGTTGTACACTGTTGGATTATGAGATACAAACAGGTACGACTTTAAAACAGTTTAATCGGAAATCAATATCTCTTATCTCCATAATTATTTATGTGGCGAAATGCTGTGTAATAAGTGGTATGACTGTACCGTATCACTTAAATGTCTGTCCGTGTAGCCGTGTAATAAGCGGGATAATGTACATCCGGCCGGTTGTTCTCTAAAAATACACATGCAGTGCACATGCAGGAACTACATCATCTGTATCAGTAACAGCGCATACATTAGCTGAGCACTAACATGAATGACTGATGAAACATTAAAGTTTGTAAAACAAATCTTGCTCAATCTTTATCATTACTCAAAGTAGTAAGAACGACAGACAATCTGCAGGTAAAAGTGGGCCCACAGCTGCTTGGCAGTGGTATTTGAGTAAGACCGTAATAACTTAAGTTAGCGGTTGTGGCGAGCAGGACGAGGCCGAGAGATGTGATAGAACGGCGTGAGGCCGGTGGCGTGAGTGGTAATGAACAACACCTGTGAGACGCACCAGTCTCGCAACTCTCACGGAGGAGCGGAAGCATAAAGGAGGAGCGACGACAGTGAAGACTTATAATACACCTTATACTAGACTTATAATAGACTTATAATACGCCTACTTATAATATGCCCTAAAAGTATGTAATCTTTTTGTGAAGAAAAAGTACCTACTTTTGAGTGTGTAGCAAAAGAGTAGCTAAGCTTTGGGACATACTACTTCGTCATCTTTAACGGACAACTCTGTCGCTATTACACGCATCCTCACCGTAAACTGCCCTGTCAATCATCCTGTCACAGTTAAAATCCTCCATTCAATCTAATTTAATTTCCTACCATTTCGGAGAGAAATGTTGTAGCACGTTGATCTGCCAGTCGTGGGTCTTTCATGCGGAGACTCTCCTCATGTGCTTGCAATTT